CCAAAAAGTCTCAGGATACATTCAGGTTACAACATTTACCAATATTGAGGTAAAGAGCTGAACTAGTCATGACTCTCAAACCATGAAAACCAGTAAATGGAGTAAAATCGTACACACCAATATCGTTGCTAAGTATATACAAAGATAGAGATTATTCATTCCCATTAACTTGGATTTTGTAATAAACACACAACAAAAAACCAATTAAGTTGCATAAGTAAATATTACAGACAGATCTCTAGAAGATTCCATATATAAAAAAAGCATATAAGGTGTGTCACAAAGACTTGTTACTTAAACTCAAAAGATACCTTTCCAAACATTGGGTTCATCTAGTACAGTCATATTTGTGTAACAGAACTTTAATAGTTAAACATGAAGGCAACTATTCAGAACTACGACCAACCAAAGCAGGAATTGCACAGGGCAGTGTTCTGAGACCCCTACTAAATGTATTATACACATGTTAGATAAAATATTAAGCCTCTTGACTTAGTAATTAAGAATCAGTTATGCTGGTGTGTTAAAATAACCTTGGGTTCTTACAGTTTTCAAATTGAACACCGAAAAATTCGCAAGTTTCTATTGCAAACGCCGCGTAACTATTTAAAAGATATCTACTTAAAAAGTTGTTCAAAACTAATCTAACGTAAACCAATTCCAACAAGATTTAGTACAGTTTCATTCAATTTTATCGGTTGGACTACCCGTCAAATGCAACAGTTTTCTGCGTATAGTCATTTCAGTATTGTTTAAAGTCCTGCGACTAATTATATTTCGCGTGTGTTATATATTTTGGATCATAAAAGAGCGCATAATAAAAGAATACAAATTGGTCCTCTACCAGGGGTCCTTTTTAATGTTCTTTATTTTGGTCGCTCGTAAGGTGACATGCGAACAGAAATACGGGTTATTATTAGTAATAAAGTTAATTTGGCATGGTCTGTTGCTTGTCTATACCAGAATTTATTTTCAAAAAATTTACTGTCTCCAATTATTTGGCAATAGTAGAAACACTTTTAATTTTCTGTGACTAATTCTCATCGGTCAATGACAAAAGGTTAAAGAATAAAAAAATCGCTCATAAATGTCTTCCTTGGAAAGCTGACATGGGCGCCGAGTCTAAGACTTTTAGACCCCATTTAAGTTCATGTTTAAGTTCAAATTTTTTCAGCTTTGATTAGCTTTTTGTAGCATACGCTAGATTTTACATTGCATTAATTTAGAAATAAAAGACGTACCGATTATAACAATCATCATTTATTACTTTAAAGCCAATCGTGTATATAGCACATCTCAAGATTTTAATTAGTGCTTAATTTAGGTCCGGGAGATTGTGTTGAAGGATTTTTTTCGAAACAATCCGGTGGTTAATTAAAACTTAAAAATAAAATCAGGACATACCATACGAAAAATGGCCCTTTTTAGAATAATTGGACTTCTTTTAGTAACGCATAAAGGGTAGGTGTGGCTGTAATCTCACCCAGGACAGGTATTTGCAGAAAATAAAGGTTCGATGAAATTTTCGGAAGTACTCTATAGTGTTAAAAGTATAGAAATTTTAATTTAGTAATACGAATAAGACAGTTTTCTTGAGCAGAACACAAACTCCTCGAAGAAGCTGAAACTGTTTTCACTTGAATATCCTTTTTGTGTAGAGAATCATCCCATTCTGGGCCTTGGTTTTACGGTTTCTAATGTTACTTCGCTGTTTCCAGTACTTTTCTCCAGTCTTCTCTCTTTGATTGTTCTTTCTATATTTCGAATTTCCATACTCCTTAAGTCTTCTTTCACTTGTTGTCTCTACCTCAGTTTAGGTCGTTCTCTGATTCTTTAAACTGGTGGTATCCATTCCTTGTTAACTCTTAACGGATTGCTCTTCTCTATTCTTTTCTCATTCTTCTTCTTCTTCAAGTGCCCTGTCCGTTGCGAACGTTGGCTATTAACATGGCAATTTTGATCTTGTTTCCGGCGCTTCTGAATAGTTCGACCGATGTGAGCCCGAACCACTTCCGCAGATTTTGGAGCCACGAATGTCTTCTCCTGCCTGGCCCTCGCTTACTGTCTATTTTTCCCTGGACAATCAATTGTAGCAGACGGTACAATTGGATGTACCATAATATCTAATTCTTTTCTCATTAGATGTCCATAATATCTAATTCTTTGTGCTTTAATTGCTCTAACTAGGTTCTCTTGATCCATATATTCTTGTATTTTGTAATTCATCCATTGTCTTGCATCCTCTTCATTTTCTTTCTTTGGTACCAGTATTTTACTGATCATTTTGCTCTTAAAAACTTTCAATTGCTCTTCCTCTCTTGCTGTTAATGTAAATGTTTCTGCAGCATATAATAGTATCAATTATTGGTCTAATGGTTATTGGAGATATTTAAAACTCTCCACTCTTTCAAAGTTATATGGGTTTATTGTAACATTTTGCCTTATTCTAGTAGCCTAGCAATAAGAAGCCAAGAAGCCAACTAGCCCTAGTAACAAAAACAGCTACAAGAAAGTGGGTAACTCACAAATTTCTAGAATGGTGGAGAAATTCACCAGGACAAAGACAGGCGAAACAGTTCATAACAGAACATTCGCCAAAATTTACGCATTCCTAATAAGCAAAGACAGTAAAACAGTCAAAGTCATAGTAGCTCTTCCAACAAGTTACTCTAAGCTGAATAGGCACATGAAGCTGATTCGGTCACCCCGAAAAAGAAGCAGCAGAGCACATTCTATGTCAGTGTGACAGTATGGCAAATGCGGTTCTTTGCATTAAGAGAAGAAAATCCACCGGAGAATAGCTACATGGAAGGTACAGTCTCGAAGATGTTAGACTTTTTAAAAGCCAGGCTAGAGAATGCTATCTAGGAGTCTCTCTCTTTAATCCTGACCCCCCAGGGAGAGTGTAGTGGTCGACGTGATGTCGTGTATTGTCCGTCTCCAGAGATCTCTGTCTCTGGTCATTTCTTTTAATTCATACATAGGTCTTTGGCATATTCCTGTAATTTGATCTATCCATCTTGTTGGGAATCTTCCTCGTGATCTTCGGCCTTCTACCTTTCCCTGTATTATGAGTCTTTCCATGTTTTCTGTGTTTGCTCTCATAACATGCCCAAAATATTTTAATTGTTGGAGATGGACTTTACTAGAGAGTCGTTGGCTAACTTTTAGCTCTCATAAAATTGAATTATTTGTTCTACGGTCGGTCCAAGGAATTCGTAACATTCGTCTCCAACAGAACATTTAAGTGGCGTCTATCTTTCTTCTCTCCGATTGTCTCAGAGTCCAGGATTCACATCCGTAGGTCAGTATTGGGAATATTAAGCAGTTGATCAACCTTATCTTTATCGCTCTTGAAATTTGACAGTCCTTCCATATTTTGGTCATTTTTGCTGTGGCAACTTTTGCTAGATCACATCTACGTTTAACCTCTTCTTGTAATGACCCTGTGTTTGTGATCAATGATCCCAGATATAAGTATGAGCTCACAAACTCGAACCGGTTAATTGTGGTCATATGTGGATGATTGTTGTGTAGTCTATCCACTATCATGATCTTTGTCTTTGATATGTTTAATTGCAGACCAAATATTTGACTTTCGTTTTCGATCAGTCGTGTAAGTTCTATCAGCTCTGCTTGACTATTTGCAAGAAGGGCTGTGTCATCTGCGAAACGTAGGTTGTTTAGTTTATGACCATTTATTGAGATGCCCTTTTCCCATCCTTCAAGTGCTCTTCGCATAATATACTCCCCATATATGTTGAACAATTGTGGAGATAGTATACATCCTTGTCTGACACCCCGTTCTGGATGAAATTCGTTCGAAAGTGTGTCAAGTACTTTAAATGATCCAGTAGTGTGTTCATATAGTTCGGTTATAAGCGTAATTAGATGTTGTGGTACGCATACTTCTTTTAGTATTCGCCATAAGTGTCTCCACTTGACCCTGTCGAACGCTTTACGGTAATCTATAAAACATATGTATAGTGGGATGTTGAATTCCCTAGATTTCTCGATTATCTGCCTTATATTCAGCAGGTGTTCTCGAGTGTGTGTGTTCAGCAGGTGTGGTTTCACAGTAGAAGAATTATTTCGCGCAGCAGCCGACAGAGAAAGGTTTCAGGAAATTGTAAGCATGATGTCGGCCAACGTCTGAATACGGACACGGCACCCAAAGAAGAAGAAGAAGTTCTCGAGTGCCTCTACCTTTGGTAAATCCAGTTTGCTCTTGTGGAATTTCTCTTTGAAGGAATGTTTTCAGTCTCTCATTGATTATATGTAGCATTATCTTGCTGGCATGGGATATAAGAGAGATAGTTCTATAATTGTTGCATTTATGGAAGCTGCCTTTTTTATGTATGGTCGTTATTGTTGATCTTGTCCAGTCTTCAGGCCATTGTTTGGAATGCCATATTTGGTTACAGAGTAGATGAGTAACTTTACGCCGGTTTCTTCTGTGGCTTTAGGCATTTCTGCTGTTATCATATCTGGACATGGTACTTTGTTATATTTGAGCTTGTTGATAGCCTGTCTTACTTCATTTTCGAGTATATCAGGTTCTTCTTCCACCTCGTCAGAGATTTGGCTAACAAGCTCTTGGCGTTGATCATCTTTATATAGGAGTAGAGGACCACAATAGATCTGGAAGGTCGCAGTCTATAAATCTATCTGTCTATCTAAGGCTTAATATTTTACAGTATTAAAATGGTAAAGATATCACTATTTACTTTGTAATTTATCTACAGATATGGTGGATACCCAAAAGCGTTTTCAAAAAGCAGGCCATTTACGAAGCAAATTATAGTTTATATTTTTAAAACGTTATTTTATATTTTGTATTTAACAAAACCAATTTAAAAAAACGTTCGCTGCCTCTGTATACTATACTTTAGATATTTGATTCTGAATTCTAGTTCTGTAAATACTTACTTGGTTGTATTTCTTTGGTTTTCAATAACAGGATATTGTACATATTTACTTATATTTACCTATTATTTTAGATGTAATCAGTGCTATTGGAGGTAAAGGGCTCCTATGGTTGAAAAAGGGCTAACCCAGTCCTTCTTAATTTTAAAAGTGTAAGAATCTTTTTAACACCATTTTTTTAATACGACTAATTACTTCTTTTTAAAGACTGGTAAAAACAGATTTATAACAGAACTAATCGATTAATATTGGTTTTAACTTTAAAGATACGTGCTTCACTAGATTTAAATTATTAGCTGTTGAAAATTGTTAATAATCTCTTAGTACTGGTCAATTACTAAATCAAAATTTACTAAAATATTTTAACTGGAATGAAAATTCTTTCTTTTGTATAATTGAACTTTAGGAGTGATTTGTATTTTACAGTGGATGTTAGTCAAATAGTTTTTTAGATTCAAAATAATTTTTTATTAGGTTTGTTGTTGAATAGGAGAAATATCAAACATATTAATACATTGTTATTATACTGCTTTTAAGAAATTAACAATGCATTACTAAAATAATAAAAAAAGTTCATAAAACTGTTAAATTTTATTAAAACATTTTAATGTTCAATATATTATGTTATACAAAAACCTAATCTATAGATAGTTCTGTTTGAAGTTCAGTCAGAATATATTTCTTCTTCATTTTTCCAACGATGCTCTCCTACGTTACTTGATAACTAGTATTTCAGTTAATTCTATACTAATCTACGCTTTCTAAAAGCTAATTCTACGCTTTTCTTCTTCTTCTTCATTATTTTTGTGTGTCCATCGTATCTTCTTCATTTAAAGCTTTTTCTCTTAAATTGTCTACCACACAGTTCTTTTATCTTTTCCCCGATTTTCCTTTACCCCTCTTTTTAATAACTTCTACAGGTAGCTCCCATTTCTAATGCGACTAAACGATTGCAGTCTTTGTTGTTGAATATTGTAGCTTGTAGTCCCCGGGCTCCTTCCCTTATCACTTTTTGATCGTGAAAATTCTAGTCTTACCCAACATCAAACACAACATTTTATTTCAGCTACCTCCATCTTGTTTTCCTCAACCGTCTTTATAGAGGCCATACTTCCCTACCGTACACCAATGCAGGCCTCACTACTTCACCGACATTTAGATCACAGATTGCCCCGTTTATTCGCTTTCAGTTCAACCAAATAGCCTGTATCCTGTGGAAAATTTCTTGATCTAGTGTACTGTTTTCCGTTATGTACCTTCTTCTTCTTGTAGTGCCTATCCATTTCGGATGTTGGCGACCATCATGGCAATCTGCACTTTACACACTGCTGCTCTAAAAAGATTTGTGGTTGTTGTGTTGAACCACGTTCGTAGATTTTTCACTCAGGAAATCCTTCGCCTTACTGGTCCCCGTTTTCCTTCTACTTTTTCCTGCAAGATTAGTTGCAGCAGTCCATATCTTTCGCTGTTCCTCATGATGTGACCGTTCCATAACTCATGTTATGTACCGTTTTCGTTTATTTAAATTCTCCTTGTCTTTTTAGTTTTTTCCCAAGAAATTTAAAGCCCCTAACTGTTTCTATCCTCAAAACAAATATACCCCGTTTTTGATCTGCTAACCTAAAGTTCTCTCTCTTTAATAACCCTTCTCCAAACCTCGTACTTCTCTTCTAACATTTATTTGATCGTCTCCACTAATATGATATCATCCGCAAAAATCCGCAGGGACTCAGTGAAGAACCTTGATGCAATCCAACAGTAAATGGAAAACTTTCGGTTAATACAACAGAAGTTCTCATTTTGTCATATGATACCTCATACATATTATTTTCACGTGTCCCCGACTATACTAGACGTATATTGTAATTTTTCAACTTCCTTCATTGCATTAATTTTTAGAAATCTTCCTATGTTTTTCATAATAATTTTCTTGAAAGGGTTATCTATGATCATTTCTGTTATTAAATTGATTTAAGGAAACTAAAGCATGTACCAAAACTGTCTTCTTCTTTAGGAAACTCTTAGGGCTATTCTGATTTTAGATGAGACTGTCCTTAAAACTTCGATAGATCAGCATCTAAACTGTTCATACAAGTTGTGTAGCCATGAGATTCTTTTCTTTTCTACACTTTTTTTACCCTGTATTTTATCTTGCATAACTAATTAAAGTATGTAATGTTTTTTGTCACGCATAACATGTCGCAGGCACTACAGCTTTCTGATTTTTATTGTTTCTATTATTTCCGTCCTCTCATACATTCCTCTCATCACTTTATTGTTACATGATCAACCCATGGTATTTTTAGGATTGTCCTGTATATCCACAATTTAAATGCTTCCAGTTTTTTAATCGTCGCGTTCAGGGTTCACGTCTTGATTCCATATAGTGGTTTCAAGAAAATATAACACATTGCCAACGTAACCTTTAAGTCCAGCTTCAGAGCCCTTGAACAAAACATCTTTCTCAGTTTGTTCAATTTGCATGTGGGTACTGTGTAAATGTGAGTACTGTGCAAATGTGTATTCAATGCATACTCTAATTTGTTTGAAATATTTATTTCTGTGATTGATTATGGTACAACAACAAATAGGTATAGAGGGCACTATAGTTGAGTATATTGAGAAAAAACAGCTCATATGGTATGGGCATGTGAGCTGAATGGGGGACGAAAGATTGCCTAAAAAAACGATGATGTGGCAACCCCCAGTGAAGAGGAAACGAGGAAGACCACCACAGAGATGGAACCTGGAAGTTAGGAAAGCCATTAGCGCTCGAAATCTGGACGAAGACCTAACTCAAGACAGAATACAGTGGCGTTTGGGAGTCGAACAACGTCGTAAGACGTTATAAAACCGAATATATATATATTGATTATGGTGCCAAGATAGTTGTAATTCTCTACTTGTTGAAGAGTTTTCCTGTTAACTGTCATCCTTTCATCATTATTTTAACATAATTTTAAATCTTTATAAATTTTGCCATTTTCTTTTACATCAACTATATTTTTCATCATTGGTACTAGCCTCCTCAAGAAGTATTCTTTAGTCCTCCCAATTCAGCGACTTCCTGTGCCAAACAAGTATTCCCATATTTCTGATGTCTTCATCGATGTTATCAAGTAACATTGTTCTGGGTTGTTCTTTCACCAATAGGTCTCTTAAGGCGCGTTTTTCTAGCTGAATCATTTTGTTCCATCCGCATTACCGTCCTGTCTTAATATGTTTAACGATATCAGGTTCCTGGTATATTCTATAAAATTCGAAGTTGTATCGTTTTCTCTACACTCCATTGTCATTCACTGCTCCATAGATTCATCTTAGTACTTTTCTTTCGAAATATTCTAACATGTTTACATTACTTTTTGTTAAAGTATCCCTTCCTTCTATTCAATACATCTTTCCTTGTTGTGAATAGGTCGCCATTTTGACTTCTGCACTGTCTTGTGATTTCCTTGAATTATTTTGTGTTGTTGTTAACTTTCTTATGGAATTGCCCAAATTCTTTCTCTCTGTTGAGGTTTCCTTATATAGTCTCTGCAAAAAAACTACTTTAAATAAATCCAACAGATCTAAACATTGTATTGGTTTAAAATTGCTTCAGCTATATTAAACACTAGTACTTAAAATCATTAGACAATATTGTACTTTGACACTATCAAAGTCATCGGACATCAGTTTCCGTCGGTTACAGCAAGTGTCATCTTTTTTTATTTTGTGTTACATTACAAATCAAGAGAAAGACTAATAAAAACATAGATTATTAAGCATACATTCTTATTCATGTAATATTTATTTATCAATTAAAAATAAGTCAGTAATTTGTTTAGAAGGGCAATGTATTCAATAAAAACTGTTTGAATAAATTAATATTTGACTCTAAAAAGCTATTTGACTAATAAGAATATCGAAACTCCACTAAAAATTTTTATACAATCACAATAATTATACAGGGAAACCAGAACTGGATACTAGACGTATATTATGGTCCAGCTACAATCATCCCTCATAGGGTAGGTACCATTTATAATGTCTAAAGGAATTGCTAACACTGAGTTTTAAAGTGTATGTTTTTATTATCGATTATATTTGTATCATCCACTTATATTCATTACTTACCTCTCTCTCTCTCTTATCTCTTACGACGTCTATCTTTCTACTTTTAAATTTATACATACCCTCGAAAAACCAAAAATTTGAATTCTTTGGACACTTTCCGACAATTTTCGGTTTTGGGATATATGTTGTTTAACAAGATAAATTTTTGAAACATTTTCTTGTGTCGTAAATACATGATTTTAAAAGTCTTTAAATGTATTTTCTGTGGATCTTTCTAAGAAAAAATGTATAGTGCATACAATCGCCCCTCAACTTGTCTTTTCTCTATTTAACCATAATATATTCCTGAGGGCAGATCATTAAGGAATATCTGACTTGCAAGCAATGAGTTGAAAGTGAGCTTACACCAATCATCTGGCCAGTGTCCTGTATTCCAGGTTTCATTACACAGTTTGAACATTACTTCAATTCCTATGTCTCCCATTTCTTTAAGTGCTTCCGCCGTGATTCCGTTTTCTCCTTGAGATTTTCCAGTTTTTAATTTTTTTATTGTGGTTTCTATTTCCGATCTTAGAATATGTGGTTCCTCGTTTATTTCTTCTGGATTCACGTTTTTATGGTCACTATGAAACAACATTTCACAATATTGTTTCCATTTCGCTGCTATGCCCTCTGGATTGGTGATGATCGTTCCCAAGTTATCTTTAATTACCTGCGTTTGTGGTTTGAACTGTTTAGTTAAGTATTTTAGTAGTTCTAGTGGGATATCACTTGGACCTGATGCTTTTCCGTTTTCAACATTTGATATGCTTGGTTTTTTGATATACTGCCCTTTTCTACGTCGCGATGGATAAACAACTAGTCCCCCAAAAGTCTGTCGCTGAGGCTGATGTAATTACGCCACTGTTCTCATATTTTAAACTTTACGTAGTTCTATTGTATTTGGTCTTAATTTTATTACTTTTATACAGAGTGGCCCAAAAGTCTGGAAACGGCTAATTATCTCGTAAATTACTTGACATAATTATACAAAATTTGAGATACGCTTATTTTGGGATACGGAGATTCCATATTTGGTATTTGCAATGTTGCCAGATTTTCAGTTTCTCTTATATTATTAGTAACTTTGGTTTTTCAAATGTATCACCCTGTATATTAAGTCATTATTGGAATCTCCTATTAAATACGAGTTCAACCATAAGTAAGACTTATGATTTTATGTAGTCTGGAAGGTCTTAAATACATAAAACAAGTCTGGCAACGCCTAAATTATTTCAATACATTTTTTAATACTAACTATTTTCAAATACATTAAAACGTAACAATTGATAGTTTAGAATATTTTTTAACATAATAGTTACGTTATTAAGTGTTCAAAATGTGCTCCATTTGTGAGTTGACAGCACTCTAATCGATGGTAGAATGCGTCTACCACATTTCTCCATGATTGTCTAGAAATTATTCGAGATTAATCGATAATTCATTGCCTTATCTATGCAAGACTTGCTGGTTAAGTTTTGTAAACTGAATTTTTCAAGTATCTCTAATAAAAATAATCTTTAGGATTGAGATCGGGTGAACGTGGAGGCCATTCATTTCTACCTTGTCTACCAATTTATCGTCCGGGAAATATCTCATCTAAATAACGCCGAACATTTACACCAACTATCTGTCGTTAAATTTCTTTCGACAAAAATTACCCAATTGAATAAGTAACTACTATATCTGATCATACATTTAATTTTTGTGGTCTTTGAGTATGGTTTTTACGTATTAAGTGTGAATTTCCCACGAGTTCAGCTATTCAATACGAGTTCAACCATATGTTCACTTGATTTTATGTAGTCTGAAAGATCTTAAATACATAAACAGTGCAAAATATGTATATTTTAATAAATTTAAATATTTAAATGCAGAATGCTGTGATTTTGACATTTGTTCACCATTTAAATTATGAACTAAAATTGAGAGTAGTTGTGGTTCAAAAAGTTCTGCAATTTAAATTGCTTCTCTAAAATGCCGTTCTCTAAACCGTTCTCATATTCATAAGACGACGGTACAAAAAACTGTAAGGCGATTTGAGGAAGTAAAAGATAGATACCGATCAGGTTGACCGAAACGAGTTATCAATGACAACAAAATTTCAGATATAAGCAAAGTTTTGTTGAAGATCCACATACATCCCTAGGCAGGGTTGCACAAGTACACGATGTAGGTCATTCTTCAGTCTTACGTTTATTACTTAAAAATAAATTTAAATCATACAAAATTAACTTATTGCAAGAATTAAGTGAAGATGACTTTGTTCGTAGATTAGAGTTTACTGAGGTAATGATGGATAAAATTGAAAATTATTAAAATTTCGTTAACAGAATATGTTTTTCCGATGAAGCAACTTTTACACTGTTTGGAAGTGTAAATCGACACAATTTAAGGTACTGGTGTGACGTACATTCACACTGAAGACTGAATGCGTGAAAACCACACTCAAAGACCACAAAAATTAAATGTATGGTCAGATATAGTAGTTACTTATTCAATTGGGTCATTTTTTGTCGGAAGAAATTTAACGTCAGATAGTTGGTGTAAATGTTCGGCGATATTTAGATGAGATATTTCCTGGACGATAAATTGGTAGACAAGGTAGAATTGAATGGCCTCCACGTTCACCCGATTTCAATCCTAAAGATTATTTTTATTAGGGATACTTGAAAAATTTAGTTTACAAAACTTAACCAGCAAGTCTTGCAGAGCTAAGGCAACGAATTATCAATGAATCTCGAATAATTTCTAGACAATCATGGAGAAACGTGGTAGACGCCTTCTACCATCGATTAGAGTGCTGTCAACTCACAAATTAAGCACATTTTCAACACTTAATAACGTAACTACTATGTTAGAAAATGTTCTAAACTGTCAATTGTTACGTTTTAATGTATTTGAAAATAGTATTTTCACGCTGTAATTTCTTTGTATTAGAAGTCCTTTAAAATTTCAATACATCTTTTAATTGCTTGGTTTCTACTGATTTAAAAATATCAAACTCTTATTTTAAGGTGTGACAGCTTAACCGAATACATAAAAATAATCTTTAGAAAGAAAATTTGTCTATAATATTGTTATTTTTTATTACAGGAGCATACACTACCCAGCCAATACAACCTGTAGTTGTTTCAGTAGCAGATACTAGTATTTAGACGCCTTTAAAATTTCTTCACATACAGTATTTATTGCGTTTTTAATGTTTTGTAAATATATCTTTAGAATTAATAATATTTATTATACAATGTATTATTAAACTTATTAGTTAGTAAGCCAAGACTACCGCTGTCTAGTCTAAATCTATTTTATTTTATGTATTAAAACAACTTTAACAAATGATTGTATGGAATACAATTTGTGATCATGTTAAGAGTGAGACAATTCATATATTTCGATGCGCGTTCATTAACAAAATTTAGTTTTCGTTGTAGAGGAAGTCTCCTACAAATTCCGTCGCACGTCATCAATTAGCTGTTTAATATTGTAACGTACAGCGTTGCCAGATTAGACGAAGTATTAAGCGTCATGAATTCATCAATTTTTAAATGCAAATTATTAGTTTATTAAATATGTACAACTTTTTGAATAAATTTCGCAAGAATAATTGTTTCTACATGCTGATGACATGCAATAGGCATTTTAATAATGAAAAAAAGGAAATATTACACTTATAGAATTAAATTAAACATTTCACATTATTTGATGTATGTAAAATATCCGCAATGAATAAAAAAGTCTTTACATCTTTTCTTTTTAACTATCTTCTATATCAAAATGAAAAATGGACCAAAGTCTTTGTTAAATAAAAAAATATTTTTTGATAATAAATCCAAATAATTGGAAAATAATATCACAGTTTGAATAAGACATTTGAGTCTAAAAGACTAAATGTTAAATTAAGCTTTATTATTAACTATTATAAAAAAAAACATACCCATTTCCGAAAAAACCGTTTTTCAAAAAAACAAATCTTACAAATCATTACTTTTATACAAAACGTTTAAATTTTTGATCAGTTTTAATAATTGTAAAAAACTTTACTTCATATATATTTTTTCAGTAAAATCTCACTCTTAATTTTAGGTATAGTGCAATGACTAGGTTTTAGTTTCGAAAAAGTTCTGTACAGTTAAAAATAATATATTGCTTTATAGTTTGTAACAACTTAAGACTAATATCTTGTGAGTTTTCTATAACCTTTATTGAACTGTGTACTTTTCGTGAAAATGCAAAAAGTCCTTCAGTTTTCTCTATAAAAAAATGCAAATGTAAAAATGTTTACGTACCTAATTGTAAAATAAAAATGTTTCTAATGATTAAGTGTTTCATTATCCCACTTTCCTTTAACTACAAAAGTAATCAGTACTCGCAGCTATATATGGCATAACACCTGACAACATAGCCTTAAAAGACAATCCTAGTTGCTAAAAGTTGATAAGTTCTCTCAGCTCTATACAAACTATTGGTGATAATAGGAACCCAGATTTTTACCAACAAAATTATAATACAAATAACTACAAGAATGAGCTCTTCCTTAAAGGTTAGTACCATTAACATTATATTGAAATAAAAACTGCATCCGTTGACGATATTTGGTGGTCTGGTAAGTAACCTCCTTTGAAATGAAGAACATGTTTTCCAAAAAGTTCATTTCTTTTGTTCTACGTAGTTTCCTTTTAGCGATTTAGCGAAGTACAGCGATTTTCCACTTCTTTTTACCGTCCGAATAATACGATTTGGAAAGCTTTACAAAACAGGAGTTTATTTTATCAATTATCTCTTCAAATGACATAATATCATTCACATAATTATTCACATAATAGTACAAATCCAATCATTACATCTGATATTTTACATCTTCTCGAAATTTGCATAAAAGAGGACTACTTTAAATTTAATAATCAAATATATACAAAATAACAGTGAAGGGCTTAGAATGGCTAATCCTCTAAGCCCGTTACTATCAGATATTTTTATGGATCGTCTAAATACAAAGATTTCAAAACTTCCCGTATTCAAACAGTTTTTATATTGGTGGAGTTACGTAGAAAATATATTTGTATGTTTTACAGGAGTTATCAGACAGCTTGATCAATTTTTATCGCATATTAATTCATTCAATAGTCATATTGAATTTATAATAGAAACGGAACAAAATTAATCCGTTAATTTTTTAGATTTAAAAATTAGACTTAAAAATAAACATAAGTTCTCCGTATTTCATAAACCTACCCATACTGACACGACTATACACAATTCATCATATCATCCTAAGCAACATAAACTGGTAGCCATACATAGATTAATAGAAATTCCGATGTCAAAATACAACTTTGAGACAGAATTAAATATCATTAAGCAAATAGCAGTAAACAATTGGTAGAACAAGCAAACAATTAATACAATTTTAAATCAAAAACTATACAAGAAAGCCCTGAAATTAGCATTTCTACCACCAGAGAGAAAATCCAATACCTTCTGCTCGATTACATATAGAGGCAAACTAACAACAAATATAGCCAAACATATAAAAAAGAAATGAATAGCACCAGCTTTTAAAACAAACAACAACTTTTGCAAAATATATTAAAGACAACAAGAGCCAAAATAAAAAGCACTTACACAGTGCAGTATACAAATTTAAATGTGGCAACTGCTCAAAAACTTACATCGGCCAAACTGGTAGAACGTTTAACAAACGTATAGCAGAACATAAAAGGGCTTTCAATAATAGGAAAACAAATTCTACATACGCACTTTACCTTCTAGATTATAATCATTCTTTTAACGACAAATTTTAAATTCTTTACATCCAACATAAAGGCCTTAAGCTATCTATATTAGAATCTATGGAAATTAACAAATTAAAAAACACATAAGGTATATTTCTAAATGACCAACTTGAGACAAACAATTCTCCCCTCCTCAACCTATTTCGTTAAAGAATTTAAATTGTAAACACATCCAAAAATAGATCACTTGAGAAGGCACTCTGCCGACACAGCTGTTGTAAGAAAATATAATAAATTTTGTGGAAATTTCAAAAACAAATTTTTCAATGTTGTACTTTTATATCAAATGAATTTTCATCAAGTAACGCTCGAATCCATCACTTAATTATCTCTTCGTTAGAGCTTTTTTATTTAGGGAGCCATCTATTTAAATTTGATAACACGTAATAATCGAAGAGGGCCAAATCAGGAGAATTAGTGGGATGAGAAAGCAATGCGAAGCCTAACTCATGAATTTTTGTTTTGTCTCTGCCCTGCCCAACTTGTCATGGCACTCATGCGAGTCTTTGCTTTGTCTTGTAGAAACTATTTTGAACACTAGACACTTTTGAATTTGTCCAATATTTCACAGCAATCATAGCGAACCATAGGTTTACCCTATTCTAGATAGTGAATTAAAATTATACCTTTGCAATGCCAAAATATAGTGACCATAACCTTTCCGAGCCATTGAGCTATTTTTGACCGTTTCGTAGTACTTTTGCTGGCTTCAATTCATTGCCATGCATTTATTCTGTTATTTGGTGAGTAGTAGTGAATCTAGCTTTCACATACGACAGAAGTCTGACGGAATGTGTTTCATAAAGTCAAACAATGCTAAGATATGGTTACACAGTCAAATGTTTTTGTTTAATTGGTCTGCAAATGCGGCGACAATTGACTGGATTTTTTCATATTTAAAACTCTGTTCAAAATATGACTAGTGCCCTCTTTAATTATATTTTTGTGGCGCCTGCCAATTCAATCACCTTCAGTTTCCGATCAGCTAAAATCATGTCATTGACTTTCTTTACATTTTCCGGTATAACTACATGAGAGGGCCGTCCAGTATATAGTTCTTTCAATATAGATATACCGAATTTGGCACTGTAGTTTGAAAGGGCATTATTCCTTCGTCATTTCCTTGGCCATCTTATTCGTTAAATAATAGTGCTTAATGAGAGATCGAATGAGATAATATACGTAATTTTTCCAAACACTCTAACTTTATGCAGTTGTCGAACATATGCTAATGGTTCCATGTCGATATAATTTGACATATGTGCCTAAAAAAGGTTATGCTTTCTGAAACCAATATTTTTTTATAAACACAGCTCCACAATCGGCAAAGAAGGTTACTCATTAGACCAATAGATACTTTAAAACTCTTAAAAGTAACAAATATGTGCTTCAAAATGTACGGATACTTTTTTAATATGAAATATTAAAAAAAAGCACCATCCAATCTAATTAAAAGGCTAGGACGATACGTCAAAGGGAAACGCAGTTTGATCGGGACGATAACTCCTAGCGCCACCTAGGAGAGAAATCTAAACTACTAACTGACATATAAACCCATTGAGTCTTAATAAATTATATTTATTTGATTGATTTATTGCTAATTCAATCTACAATACAATCTACAATATCCTTACTCAGGAATTTTACTAATCCATGTGAACAAATCCCCTTCGTTGGCTCAGTGGAGATGTTCGTTCAGTTGTAATGGAAACACCAAATAATAGTAGCAGAGTTTATTGATGAGACGTACACTATGGGTGTTGACCCGGAATCACTTTGAGTAGAGACTGTTGCAGTTGATCGCTGAAGACTATCAAGTTTGTTGAGTGAATATTGATTGAATGCTTCTCTAGGCAAGAGATATTAGTTTTATATAAGTTTTAATTGGGTCAATATATTCGCGGGTCTCGCGTGATATGTGTGTCAAATTTATGTAAATTGTTTAACTTTGTCAGCACTTTAGACTGATGTCCAAATTATATTGTTGATAATTGACCAAATCCGTATGTAACCTAATTCACTACGTGGGTGTATTTAATAATAACAAATAAATTCATTCGTTCTACTGGGTGATAAAATTATACTGTCCAATTTCGGATATGAATTCTGAATATTTGATATTGGACACCATCAGTAAATAATTTTCTCTCAAAATTGACTACTGTAATTTTAATGTAAAATTTATTAAGCGAAATAATTTAAAGCTTTATGTTACTTTATATTTACTTGGTTTACATTGGCAAGAAATTTATTATTATAAAAATTTAATTTTTAATTCTTTTGAAATTAAAAAGAAGTTACGTAGTGATGTTTACAAACTTAAATGTGGCGATTGCCCAAAAACTTACATCGGTCAAACTAGTAGAACCTTTAACAAACGAATAGCAGAACATAAAAGGGCTTTTAATAATAGGAAAGATTCGATAGGAAAACAGATTCTATATACGCAATTCACCTTCTAGATCATAATCATTCTTTTAATAACGAA